GTGAGTTGTCTGTTCAGTCCATCTTCCCATCTTTTCATTGAATTGATTATTGTTTGGAGGGCTCCCTTTTAACCACAAACTCCCTAGTACTTGTTCTTTGTATTTTTGATCATAGCCATTCTGACCGGAGTTATCAATACTTCAGTGTGCTTTGGATTTGCATTTCTTTTATTATAAGTGATGTTAACATTTCTTCATATGCTTTGTGTTCATTCACACATCTTAAGAATTGTCTTTTCTTACCAGCTGCCCATTGTAAAGTTGTATCATTAGTATTTCTGTGAGTGAGTTGCTTCAGTTCTTTATATATTCTTATTTTCAATGCTGTATCTAAAGTATTTTTATAAATATCTATTTTCTTTAATTTTAATTAAAATTTCAACTTTTTCACGTGCTGTTGGATTTCATTTCCAAGTGTTTTGCTGAGGATTTTTGCATCTGTATTTATCAGGGATATTGGTCTGTAGTTTATCTTTTGTTGTGTCTTTGTCCACTTTTGGTATCAAGGTGACAATGATTTCAGAAAATGAATTTTGGAGGTTTCTTTCTATTTAGATGTTTAGGAATAGCTTGATGAGAAGTGATGTAAATTCTCCTTTAAAATTTTTGCAGAAGGCCAGCCAGATCACATAGTGGTTAAGGCCACTGAATACCACATGGCTGATTTGACAGTAGGAGTCCTGGACCCACTGACTGTAGACACACACCAGGCATGTGTCTGTGCATGTCCAAAATCCTAATAGGAGAATGGATCAGAAGAAATTGTGACATGGCTATCTCCCTGGGCAGGGAGGCATGACTTTTCACATTATCTGCCTTCTCTTTCTTTCTACCTCTCACCTCCCTCTTGTGTAAACCCACACACACACCCTATAGCAAAAGCAAACAAAGAAAAATAAAACTAAAAAGAGAAAAAGTGAAAAAGGAAGAAAAAATCTTTCATAGAATTAGAAATGAAACCATTAGCACCTGGAGTATCTTTGTTGGGAGACTATTATTGAATTTAATTGCTTCTTGTTGATTTCTTTAGACTTTCCATTTGATGTGATGATACAGTATATTTTCCCTTTCATGTGTGTGTGTGCTTGCTGGAGAGACAGAGAGAAACAGAGAGAGAGAATGTGATAAATCACCCCGGGGGAGTGGCCATGTCACAAACCCTTCTTCATTATTCTCAGGATTTTGAATACACATACCTATTGTGAATTTCAAGTCTCTGGGACTGGGACTCTAACTGTGATTGGTTATGTGGGTGTCCAGTGACATAAACATTATGGCATCTGCTTGTCTCGATTCAGGTATATTTTATATGTCCAGAAGTTATTCCACTTCCTCTAGGTTATTTCAATTTGTTAGTGTGTAGTCACTGAAAGCATTCTATAATAATCTGTTTTATTTCTATGATGTCTGTGGTAATATCACATTTTTCATGCCTTATTTTCTGGATTTTTTATTTTGCTTTCTCTACTTAATGGTTGGATTTATTTTCTCAAAACCTCAGCTTTTTGGTCATTTTTTTTTCAGTCTTTGCTATAGGGCGTGTGCACTTTCTGGAGATAGACAGGAGTGGGGGGCAGTGAGAAATCACTCCTTCTGTGGGGTAGTCAAACTTCAGTATCTTCTTTATTCTCCTCTTGGAATTTAGGGCATGAATATGTATGCAGCCAGTGAGTTTCAGTTCCAAGACGCGAATTGTGCATTCAATCATGTAGGATCCAGCTGCCTTAACCACCATGCCACCTGGTTGGCCCTCAGTTGTTCTTTTATTTTATGTTTTATTTACATGTGCTCTAATTTTTATGATTTTGTTTCTTCTACTACTAATACTTTTGGGCTGTCTTGTTCCTACTTTTTGCTGGGATAAGTCATTAGGTTATTTTTCTCTCTCTCTCTCTCTCTTTTTTTTTTTAACGTGTGTGCGTGAGTGCTAATGGCTATAGACATTTCTCTTAGTGTTTTGATGTACCTGAAAGCATCTGGAGAGTTGTGATTTTATTATTATTTGTTTCAAGAAATTTTAATTTTATTTTTGACTTATTCAGTAGTGTTTAAGTTGTTCAGGGGTGAATTATGTAGTTTTCATGTATTCATGAAGTTTTGAAAGCTCTTTTGTTCAAGTTTAATTTCATCTATATGTGAAAATATATATAATTAACATATATTTACATCCATATTAATTAGTTAGTATATGTGTTTTGTGATCTATTATGTGGTCAGTCTTCAAAAATATTCCATGTGTCACTGAGAAAAATGTGTTTTGATGTTTTGGCAGAATGTCCTATAACTGTTGGCTAGTTGATTTGGTTTGTGGTATCATTTATCTTTTGTGTCTATTTATTTATTTATTTATTGTCTAAATGATATCTCCAGGGGTGACAGTAGGGTTCATACGAATTAGTGTGTCACAATCAGTCTGTTCATATCTAGCAGTCTTTGTTTCTGATGTTGAATGCATAAAGATTTATAATTTTTATATCTTCTTGGTAAATAAATCTTTTTAATATGGTATAGTCTCTGATTCTTTTTACTCTTTTTAAAAAAGTTTTTAAAATAGGGTGCATGCAGTCACCAGAAGGAGAGAGAACAAAAGTGAAAATCTTTCCCCAAGTGGAGTGATGGCTACACTGCAATCCCTTATCCTTTGCTCTCCTCTCAGGATTTTTGGTATGCATGCACATGAGCCTGGTGTGATTTTTAAGCCTCCAAGTCTGGGACTCAAACTGCACAGTCAGAGATTTGATATCTAGCTACCTTACCCTCCATGCACCTCCTACCGTGTGCACACTCTCTCTCTCTCTTACCCTTTCTCTCTATATATTTAATTTTAGTTATTATTATTATTATTATTATTATTTTATTTGCTATAGGGCACATGCTCTCACCAGGCAGTGGGCTAGAGGTTGCATCAAGCCAGCCACCAGGTCCATCTCCAGAACTCCAACCACGGTCAGATATGTGGGATTCCAGCCCCTTAACCCCCATACTGCCTGCCAGTCCCTCTGCCCCCATATAATTTTTAATGTCTCTTTTTGATTTCAGTTGGCTAGTACCTCACATATATGGCTTAGTTATTGTGGAAGAACACCTTTACTACCTTTGTCTTTTATCACAGACCAGGAATAATTAACCTAGATGTACTGTTTCTACTTTTATTAGTATTAGGAATATACTATCCGTTTTCATGAGAAGAATGCTTTAGGTGCATTTTCATAAGAATATTTACTTAGATGTTCTTATTGTCTTTGATTCAAAGCACAATTTAATAATACAGAAAAAGAAAAAAACTTCTTTTTATTTTTTATTAGACTCGTTACCATAAACTTGTGTGAAGTTAGTTAATCTAACACATTACTCCAGAAATGTATTTAATACTTACTTGATTGTATGAGATCAAAAGTATCTTGACATAGCAGAATATTTATTATGCTTTCATCCCTAGCAGCAAAAACATTTGGAGATCTATACGAAAATACTTGTAATATTTTTAGCAGTGAATAAATTAGCATAGAGCTAGAATGTTTTTACTTCATTTTTTCTACCTTTGCAAAGAGTTCATAAATATACAGAGATACAAACATACAGAGAAAGTAAATTTTTCATATTATGGTTCTCTTTCCTAGGGCTGATAAGGTTAAATGTATTTTTTTTACAGGAGTTAATGTCATTTGAGGATGTCACTGTAGACTTTACCTGGGAGGAGTGGCAGGGCCTGGAAGATGCTCAGAGGATTCTATACAAGGATGTGATGCTGGAGACCTACAGCAACCTGGTGTTTTTGGGTTAGTGGAACTCCCATACAACTCCCTAAAGTAATTACTTTCTCCTTTTATAGTAAATGGACAATACTTTTGTAATGCTTATTGCTATTTAGAAGTGAAATTTCATTCTGTGGTTAATGTGAGTGCCACTGTTCTTTAACAAAATACCTAAATCCACCCTTTTATTTCACAGTTGATAAAGCTGAACTGTTGTTACTCTTCAAATAGTTTACATGAATGATTTGGCAAAATTCCACACTGCTTTTCATTAACAGGACACTGCATTGCCAAACCTGCAGTGATCTTGAAGTTGGAGCAAGAAGGAGAGCCATGGGCATTAGAAGAACTTCCCAACCAGAGCCTCCCAGGTTAGACAATGCATCCTTGTCAGGGACCAGTGTAATGTATTTTCTTTTAAACAGCTTGTATTTTATTGAGAGGAAAGAAAAGTGAGTATTGTTGAGGTTAAAAAAAAGTAGAAATGTTTTACTGGGATAAGAGTATAAAAAAAATGAGGTGTATAGGGACCAGCAGTTAGCATAATATCTATGTTCTTACTAGGATAAGGGTATGAAAAAATGGCGTATATTATTTTTTAAATAGTTCTAAGGGAAGACATGTTTAGGATGATTAGTATGTATTTTTATTATATCCATGTCCTTTTTAATTAGCATTTCTGCTTAAGTGACAAGACTTTTGGCTTCTGCAAATAGATGATCTAGAAAACTGTTCTCATTAGTAAAGAAACATTACACAATACCCACCATTATAAGAAAAAAAAAAAGAACAGGGAAAACAAATGACAGATGGAAATCTTTTAGTGTAAAATTACAGCAGGAAAGATGGTAGATATTTTGAATATTTTTAAAGGTGTTAAAGGAAAGGGAAACATAAAGAAGCAAAATAAAACCACTCAGCTTTCAAAAATATTAATGTAAATTGTTACTGTAACTTATTAATAAGAAAAAATATTTCTTATTATAGATCAGTACCAATACTGGAAATATACAAGAGCAGTGTAGAAGAAATTCTTAGATATAATTTATGAAAATGTTTGTCTTTTTCTGACCAAGGAGGATTGATATGTGGGCTACTACTTGTAAATAGAACGAGTATGGGAAAGGCAGTGGTAAGAACAGTTCTTGTTGCCCAGTATATAGATCAGGTGTGGAAGAATGCATCTTACAAAAAGCCTGTCTCATTCTTCAGAAGATACAGGACATGCATACTATAAATATAGAGAATGTGAGAAATTATTTTTAAAAATCATTTTTACAGTACGTTTTACATACAGAGTGGAAAATTTCTATTCATATAATGAATAAGAGAAATCCTTATTGCAGAAGTAAAATCTAGCTTTTCATTAGAGAATGCATACAAGGGAAATACCCTGTAAATATAATAAACATCAAAAAGCCTTTTTATAGAGATCAAAATTATGTAGTACCACAGAAATCACAGAAGTAAAACCTTATGATGTGGACAAATTATGAAAGCTTTCAACTGTTGTTATATATGAGACAACTCTTATTGTAGAAAAAAAGGGTAGATAAAACAATATAGAAATTTATTGTGTCTGAACACATCCCTTACTGACCATCTGCAAACCTATACAGGAGATAAACCCTATGAATATAAACAATGTAAGAAAACCTTTTCCCAGAATTCAGACCTCACCGTACATCAGAGGAGTCACACAGGAGAGAAACCCTATGAAAAGAAACGATGTGGAAAAATGTTCTACATGAAGTCACACTTCACTGTGCATCAGACAACTCACACTGGAGAGAACTCCTGTGAACGTGAGCAATGTGGAAAATCTTTCAGTTCCAAATCAGTTTTGAATAAACATTGGAAAACTCACACAAGAGAGAAATCCTATGAATGTGAGCAATGTAGAAAAATGTTCTCCTGGAAGTCACACCTGACTATGCATAGGAGAACTCACACAGGAGAGAAACCCTATGAATGTGAGCAATGTAGGAAAACATTCTCCTGTAAGTCACAATTCATTATGCACAGGAGAATTCACACAGGAGAGAAACCATATGAATGTGAACAATGTAGGAAAACATTTTCCTGGAAGTCATACCTCACTGAGCATTGGAGAACTCATACAAGAGAGAAGCCCTATGAATGTGAACACTGTAGGAAAATGTTCTCCCGGAAGTCACACCTCACTGAGCATTGTAGAACTCACAAAGGAGAGAAACCCTATGAATGCGAACAATGTGGAAAAGCATTCTCCAGCAAGGGATACTTCACTGTACATAAGAGAATTCACACAGGAGAGAAGCCCTATGAATGTGAACATTGTAGGAAAACGTTCTCCTGTAAGTCACAACTCACTATACATAGGAGAACTCAAACTGGAGAGAAACCATATGAATGTGAACAATGTAGGAAAACATTTTCCTGGAAGTCATACCTCACTGAGCATTGGAGAACTCATACAAGAGAGAAGCCCTATGAATGTGAACACTGTAGGAAAATGTTCTCCCGGAAGTCACACCTCACTGAGCATTGTAGAACTCACAAAGGAGAGAAACCCTATGAATGCGAACAATGTGGAAAAGCATTCTCCAGCAAGGGATACTTCACTGTACATAAGAGAATTCACACAGGAGAGAAGCCCTATGAATGTGAACATTGTAGGAAAACGTTCTCCTGTAAGTCACAACTCACTATACATAGGAGAACTCAAACTGGAGAGAAACCATATGAATGTGAACAATGTGGGAAAACCTTATCCAGCAAAGGAAACCTCATTGTACATAAGAGAACTCATACAGCAGAGAAACCTTATCAATGTGAGCAATGTAGGAAAATGTTCTCCCGGAAGTCACACCTCACTGAGCATTGTAGAACTCACACAGGAGAGAAACCCCATGAATGTGAACACTGTGGGAAAGCATTCTCCAGCAGGGGATACTTCACTGAACATAAGAGAAATCACACAGGAGAGAAACTCTATGAATGTGAACAATGTAGGAAAATGTTTTCCCAGAAGTCACACCTGACTTTTCATCAGATAACTCATACAGGATAGAAACCCTGTGAATGTGAATGATATGGGAAAACATTATCATGGAAGTCACAGTTCACTACGCATCAGAGAACTCTTACAGGAGAGAAATCCTATGAATATGAATGATGTGGGGAAACATTCTCCAGCAAGGGATAGCTCACTCAACATAAGAAAACTCACAGGAGAGAAGCCTTATGTATGTAACCAATGTAAAAAAAAAAAAAAAAAAATAGAAAACCTATTCTACCACAAGCTAGCACTTGTTAAATATTGGAAAACTCACTTAGAAGAGAAATCACATGAATCCAAACAATGTAGGAAAACATTCTCCAGCAAGGGATACTTCACTGTACATCAGAGAACTAACTCAGGAAAGCATCCCTATGAATGTAAACAATGTGGAAAACATTCTTCTGGAAGTCACAACTCACTTATCATTGGAGACTCACATAGGAGATGCCCTATGAATGTGAAAATTGTGGGAAAACATTTACCTGGAAGTCAGCACTCAATTTACATCAGAGAACTCACACTGGAGAGAAATGGTATGCCAACAGTGTAGGGACCATTTTACTGGAAGGCAGGGCTCATTTTACATCAGAGGACTTAAATAGAAGTGAAACCTTATTTTTTTTTCAATTTATTTATTTGCATTCATTCACTATACATCATTACAACATACAAAATGAGATTTTCCATCCAAAGTACACTGTA